CGGGGAATTACAATTACTGGCAGGACAGTTGAGAGTTGGACTGTTTTCTTGACAATGACCTTGAATGATATCAGCAGTTCTGTCCCAATTGGGAAATACTCCATTGGGACAAAACGGTAGTAACCAGTGACCTGATAGTTCTCGGTCTGAATGTAGATAGTGGTGTGAACACGGACAATGCTATACAGTATTTTGAAGTGTAATTTATTTGCAACAGACGTTACAGTGTGTTAGCGCAGTGCAATTATTTTTAAAGTGTAATATTAAGTCTGTATTTATGTATTATGTGTTCATGATCGAACACCTGAACTATTAATACTAAAATTCTCACTCACTCTAACTTAAAAAAAAACGACCTGTCTTGTCTATGTGTTTGTCTTCTGCGGAAACCCACGGTAAAGTTAATCTATGGACTATGAGAATAGATACAACATTTATGAAATGTATAAAAAATGTGTATAAAAAGGTTTATTGTAAGATTATATTATATATACTTTTTATTTTTTTACTTTAAAATTAGATGGATTGATATCTATGTAAAGCATCACATCTTTGAGTCAGAATTAATTTTAATTTTAAATAAATGAAATAAGTCTTCTGTAACATTTATGCCATTTTCCTCAAAAAAATCTTTTTAATTTTATCTGATGGTAGTTTTGATAAGTTCCATTGTTTCTCCACGCCATTCTTCGACTACCTTACAACTCAAATCTTTCTTCCCAATACCGAAAAAGTATATAAGTAAATTCTTAAAAACACAACATGAAAAATAAAAAAATGACAGTTAATAAAAACTTCCATCCAATTGTCACAAAGTGTCATAATTCAACAAACTTTTAATAGAAAATTATCGGAAAAAAATGAATACCGAAAATCGATACCCCGTTACTGCTTCCTTATTTATGTTAAGAGAAATCAAACAGCGTCAGGAGAAAGTAACTCGAGGGTATCAGTTGTTGAAGAGAAAGACCGAAGCCCTACGCATGAGGGGTAGACAGGCTGCTGTAGAAATGTCCGCCACACAAGCCATGCTGGGGCACACTCTAAGAGAAGCCTACATATCTTTAGCTGCTATTAAATTCACAAATGGAGAATCTAATGCATTAGTTCTTGAAAATGTCGGACAGGTAATTTCGTTATTTTGAATTCAGAGAAGAGAACCACAAATAAAGTTTTGGTAACTGCGTTATATAAGGTTCGCCCATAGCCAGAATCTTAAAACAAACGAAATCAAATATTTTTATTAGGCATTATTATAAAACTCAAAAGCTACTGTGCCGATCCCAAAGATAATTTCAACATTAAAAAGCTACGTTATCGCCGAGTAGCACAGGCTATATTATACTGTTTTATTTCACGTGGACGAAGTCGCCTGCAACAGCTGGTTAGGCATAATTCTGGCGTATAAAACATTCATATTAGTTTCTTACTAGACAAACAGCACGTTTTAATATATTTTAGGCACAAATTCGCGTACTCAGAACACCAGAAAATATATCTGGTGTTGCGACAGTATCTCTTCAGGCTGTAGAAGATTTAACAGCCAGCGACACGCTGCAGTACGCTGGCCTCGGCGCCGGCGGACATCGTACTAGTGAAGCTAAAAAATCTTTCAGAGAAGCTGTTAGAATCCTTGTTAAATTCGCTTCTTTAAGGAATACTTGTCTGCTCCTAGATGAGGCTATAAAATCGACGTTACGGTTAGTGGAAGCATCCAAGATCTACTTCTATTTACATATTTTATTTACATAAAAAATAAAAATAAAATATTACAGCAAAGTAAATGGTATAGAAAAGGTTATAATGCCAAAATTACGCAACACTGAAACTTACATACTCATGGAAATGGGAGAACAAGTAAGTAATGCAAAATGTATAACTGCACCTTGTAAATCCAAAAAATAACGATTCTTTTTTAATTTAGGAAAGGGAGGAATTCCACAGATTAAAAATGGTAAAAGCGAAGAAAAATCAGAAAAAGATCACTCAGAGCCAAAGTCGCGATGACGCAGATTCAATTTTTTCTCACGGTATTTATTGTAAATCCAAAACGGAAAATATGGATAAATATTTATTATCTTCATTAAAAAGCACTCGTTTCAGACACATCGAACTCGCCTTGCACTCGATTCTTCCATACAATTCTGTATCAACGCACAGATCCGGTATTGTCGCAGTCAGATTCCGCGGGAGATGGCAATGTCATCTGCTACCCTCATAATTGGGATGACGAAGATTTATTGTTCTAATTGTTAAATTTATTTATTACGTTAAAGCTGTTCGTCTGTTTTTAAGTTCTCTTTTTATCGAATATGTTAATCGAATGCTATGTGCCAGTAAAGTAATTTGTTAAATGGTTATTTACCTTAAACTATCTATTTATTTACTGTATTTTTCATATCTCAAATGTTGGACTCTATTGGCATAATCAAGCACTTCCAAACTACTTATTACAATACACAAAGATTCAAATGCAGGGTTAAAAAGGGTTTTATTATGTCGTAAATAAGACAAAAACTAAAAATAACAAATTTGAATGTAACGGTTACAAATAGTTTAACCAGATTGCAATTGGCATTATATTGTGGGTTTTACAAAACCCAACCATCGTCCAATCTTTCTTCCATAGGTCTCGTAAAGTATTGACATCTTCTGAATTTTTCTAAAATTTCGCCCTGTAAAAAGTATATGCGTTATTTTAGATCTTAATATCGGAATCAATGCTTTTACCCAAATACTAACAGGTCCAATCTTTTTCATGGTCTCGCTGTAAAATGTAATCGCGCTAGATCCAGTTCCGTATAATGGATATTTCAGATGCATCTGTAAAATCGATACGTATAATTTCCTTTTATGTGCATACTCAATTATGGTTTCATATATTTTTTTCTTACCGTCTTATCAGCAGTCACTTCTAAGTTACGAGGTTCGAATTGATCTTTCACATAATGCGAATCGTACTCGGTACAAAGTTCGTCAGAAGTGTGGACTTTCGACATCTCTTCGATCACCTCGTCTAATATTTGTTCCCAAAAGAAATTGGTCAACATTCGCTTCCGTATACCTGCGCGCAGAATATCGTGTTTTTTAAACATAGTTATAAATAGATTAGTGCGATTAGTGAAAGTAAAAGTTTACCTTGTCCCACATTAGATTTCCTAGGTACTTTAAAACTATCGCGCATTACACTTCCTTTCTCCGGTACCTCACGCCCATCCTGAAGAATCCAAGGTCGGCTATATGATTTACCTTTACCATAAGAAGATGGTTCTATAGGTACTTTCGGATGAAGTCTAACTCTTTCCGCAGGTCTTATTTTTAGTTTCGTTTCTTCAGAGTCAATTATCGGTAAATCAGCTTGAACTTCTTTATTCTCCAAATCCATTTTAGGGATGCAACAATGACAATAAATTAAATAATCAAGTTTCTAATATTCCTTTAACATTTGATAATTGTTGATTCCGTTGCTATAGTAGTATTAATTTCATAAACCGTAAAACGAAACCTATTTTGGTTTATGGGTTCATGACATTCGCTAAAAGTGCTGTCAAAAGTCAGAAATTCAAAGTTAGATTTTCTGTCATTATTTTCGCTGTCATTGTCAAAACCAAAAATGGCCGATGCTTGTCAGGTTCTTCGAAAACAAGATCTGCCTCCTCCGGGGGGCTATAAACCGATTCCTTTTAAAAGGGTACCCGCAAAACAATTCTTTAGTGGTAAGTAAAATAATGGATTATAACTTTTCTTTATTTTTGTTATATTATGTAATCTGTCGTATAGGTTATGTTGTTATTAATCAAAACTCTTTTTGCATATAAAATATTTCGCTTTGCTATTTGTAAAGGGTACACTCTATTCGCTGGTTACATTGGTATGACCATTGGTGCCATCTATTTGTACCAATTAACTGATAAAAGAATCAAGAGACATGAGATCGAGATGCGATCCTCGAAAATGGCCATTTACCCGATGTTACTGGCGGAACGTGACAGGGAATACTTGAAGCAACTCAGGAGGAACCGGGATGCTGAGGCTGAACTGATGAAAGATGTTCCCGGATGGGAGGTAACAAAATTCATACAATATCTGCTTTAAATTTTCCCTTCATCCAGAAACTTCCATCTCTTCCACTGTTTTATAATTGTTGTTCATTCCTTAATTATCTATACTAATATTAAAAAGAGAAAATAACTTTTTTATATATAGCAAGTAAACTGAAAAACTATTGGGCCAATTTCAAAACTTCTTTTACCCCTAGAAAAATATATTATCAGTCATAGGCTATATTACTTTTTTAATTATGGAAGAATGAAAGCACATGCAAACACCAACCATAAATAAAGCAAAACATTTTCTAATGAATCTGCAAATTATTTGGCAGTTATAGAATTTAGTTTGTTTATATAAATTCAGTTGGAATGAGCTATAAATATTTTTTTGTTACAGGTTGGTACATACTATGGTGAGCCTGTATACAAGCTTGTGCCCCAAGATGCTCTTGTGGAGCCAATCTTCCATGAATATTATGCACACACCAACCCCGTGGAATGGTTTAGGAGAGCTTACATTAAATTGCGCTCTTAAATACTCATTTTAGTCTATTTCTCAATAATTATTACAATATTGGCTTTATGTTCCAAAAATTGTTTTGTCTGGATCTATTTTGAAGTTTGAGAAATAGACCAAATTGGTAAAATTAGCACGCAAAGGAAGTAATTTATGTAGTTGCATTGAATAAATACAATTTTGTTTTATTGGATACTGTTTTAGTTTTAAGACACTTTACCTTTAAGACCCCATAATTTCTAGCAAAAGTAAAAAACATGCCAATATAATTAAGTTTGCCTATAGCTTTATCGAAATTAATATAAAAAATCTAGTTAATACAAATATCATCATAAACCCTATAAAATTGATTGTTATGATTTAACTATAGGTAGGGATTTTAGTTTAAAGTAAAACTAGTATCTGCAACTAGTCACTTTCAAAGTGATCTACTATTAAAAAGTTCCTTACTTATGTACTCGGACAAGATTGTTCAGTAAATATAATTGTTTACTTGTTTCCTTAAGGTGAATTTCCAAACATGTACAAAAACTTTTACTAGACACCACAGTGTGACTAAAGACAGGTAGGTTAATAAAAATCATTATTAAAACATATTGTTTATTTACCAAATACAGGATTTTATGGAAAAGTAAAAAAAACATTCACATTGGAAACATAAAGCTTATAAATAAATGTCATTTTCTTACTTCATTGTGGGATTCCACACGAAATATCTAAACAAAAACATTGTTCTCTGTTTTTCATAGAGTGAAAGAGATGGATATATTTTTGTCAGTATAGGCAGTGGTTTACAAATAAAATTGTTTATCACCACTTTTGGATAACTTAAGAAATAATAATTCTGTAAACTCATTAAAAACTGCAGTTCCAAACATTTTCTTAATAGATTTAAATGCTTACAAACTTCAGCTTACAGAAATTTTGTTCATTTGATAATCTTAACTAAACCATTCTCCCATGTTTTATAGTAAAACAAATAAAATATACCCAGAACATGAATGCTCATACATTTTTATGTAAAAAACAATACTAATGGCTATAATTTATTACAGCATTAGTGTTATCATAAGCATAATTCAAGATGGAATTTTCATTTGTGTTTTTTATGTTGTCAATTTGCATAAAAAATTAAGCCCACTAGACACTCAGTTCTGATAATTTCACTGTCAAGCTGTTCAATTAAAACTGTGCATGTGAAGCAAACATTTTAACTGTACAGTACAACTGATGGACAAATTGTTTACTATACAATTCAATTGACATGCAAAATTAACTGTACAATTACAATAGTCTTTTTTATACACCAACAGCCTTAAAAATAAACGCGGTATGAAGTTAAACTTAGGGATACATTAAGTATAAGCAAAATTTGTACTTATTAATATTTGCTTATACTCAGTTTATTAAGTTTAACTTTATTCTGTGTTTATTTCCAAGGCTGTTACAGTTTTAACTGGACAGTTAAACTGTTCAGTTATAAATGAGCGTCTGTATTATACTTCAAACAACCCAATCCCTAATATTGCATAAAACCCATCATACAAATAATATCTATTTAGATTTCTTTATAATCACTTTTGGTTTAAGTTTTACTGTTCTTAGTTTATGCATGTGACTCATTACAAAGAACATTCCGGGGAATGTTAAAACTAAGAGATAAACTCTCATTAAAGACGGCAAATGGAATGCAAAATTCCATTCATTAGGCATTGATACAGAAAACTTCTGCGTTTCTTCAAAATACGGAATATTCCGCAGAATAACTATTGATTCACATAGTATTCCTAATGGGTAGAGAGGTATCCACAGAGTATATCGAAGCCATGTCAGTAAATATATCTCTTTCTTGTAAATTTGAGTGATATAGAATGGATACCTGAAATGCAAATATTACTAATTATTTAAACGGATTTCTTAATATTGAAATCAAAATGACCTTCCATTGTAATGTAAAGTTATATTCAAATGAAGTAAATTCAATTGGTTCAAATACAATTCATTATAAGTCAGACTTTACCAATGGTAATTGTATGAAAACAAAATGAAATACATAAAAAATAAAGCGTAAATTACAGTCAAAATCAAATAATTTTGACAAAAGTTGAGATTGATGGATGGATGGATGTTCTAAATAACTCCAAAATGGCTAAACGGCTCCTAGTGGTATTCGGTATAGATGTCTGTAGATTTTTTTAAATTACTAGAGCACAAAGTATGCCCAACAGTTTGTTTAACAATCAAGTAATAGTTCTTTAAAACATCAGGTAATTTATATAAAGAATTTGTATCAAATTAAATAAAATTACCTGACAACTTCAATAAGACCCCATATCAGGAACAGATAGAAGACAACAGGTTTCGTTTGCATTCGGGGCTCAGCCTCTATCATCACAAACAGGACAAATGCTCGACCACTTATCTGTAGAAATGGTACTAACACACCACCCTGAAATTTAAATACGATTGAACGCTACAATATGTTCTTAAATACTTCACAATAGATAATATAAGTTTTTAATAGTAAAATAAGTTTATTTGTTACATACAAAAAAATTGTCTACAATCTTACCAATATTATAAATGCGAAAGTTTAGATGGATGGATGTTAGAATTTGTAGCCTAAACGTCTTAACGGATTACAATAAAATTTGGTACAGATGTAGAGGATAGCCTGGAAAAACACATAGGCCACTCACTTTTGTTTTTTTTAATACCACGCGGACGGAGTCGCGGGCGAAAGCCAGTATTAGTATAAATTAATGTATAGTAAAATTGGCACATGTTAAAGATAAAAAAAATCATCTAATGTTCATAAATTCTGCTTAGCCTATTATATTTCAGATGTGTCTTTTCTTTTAAATAATTACCTTAGTATAACCGAACATTGGATGCATGACTTCCAAATACTGCATCAACTGCAGGAACTTCATAGCAGAGCCAACATGTTCATATGTGTCTGCTACCGAGTCATACTCCAGCTTAGCGTAACGCACACCCATCACCGCAAGGACATACGTAAATCCGATAAATTGGAACAAATTGTATACAATCAAGTATACCTTTTTGAAATCTTCTGCAAATAAAATGATCACTTTAACTTTTAAAATTTGATTACTGTAAATATGGAGGAGGTGAAACATTTTTCAGGATTATACTAACTTCAATTTATATTTGAATAAAGTAATGACAAATAACATGAGCTAGTATTGGAGCACTAGACTCATACTGTAACACTGGAGTATTCCAATACTTGGCCTTCTGTACTGATATTTCTTTTCTAATTTGTGGTAGATAGAAAAAAATCTAATAAGAAAAGGATGGGGAGTTTAAAGGCTGATAATTTAAGCTCTTGAGTCTTTTAATAAAATACCTTTTCTATACCCCATTTCTTCTTTATGTAGTTGATCATACATTCCAGGATAGTCCTTCATTACATCTCTGGCTTCATCATCACTGTCTATACCATCTTCAGATTTCCAGAGATCAAAATTAATCTAAAAAAAATTAATAGCACTTTTTAATCCTTTAATAGATTTAAAATAATATAAGATACATGATGACTATATTTTAAAACCTTCAACTTATATAATATAATTTAAAAAAACTACTGTATATGATTAATATCTAGTATGGATATAGATTACTTTTTGAAATGAATTACCTTCAACCATGCTGGTTTTTGAGGCTGTGCAGTAAGGCGGGGCCACCAAGCATCTTTTTCTTTCTTTAATATCAACTCTACTCTATTATCGAACAGTTTAATTGTAGTAGTTTGATCATCGTCCTAAAACATTTTAAAAAGAAAACATTTTTTAAATGAACTATTATTTTACAACTGTCAAGAAGATAATTTTAAGTGTTATTTGAATACTTACAGACTTAAGTGATGAAAATAAATCCAAATTAAATCCATATTGGGTTTCGCCGTGCGCACCGATGCCTTTTCCGAAAAACTTTATCTTATTATCAACAATATCTACGTCTGGCTTGACGACATTTTTCAAATCAATTTTCAAGGTTATTAACTTATCAGTTTGAGCCCAATATACAAATGGACTAGGCACAACCATCTTAGGGACAAAATATTTCTTAATTTCCGATTTAATTTCAGAGAAATTCACAATCATAAAATCCGATTCATATCATATCAGTGTCAAACTGACAATCTGTTGTGCTGATCAAAATTTGACAGTTTCTTCCTATGGTTGCTATTGTTCAGTAGTGAACTTGTATTTTAAATAAAAAATAATAGTTACAAACATGACGAATCAAATCAGTGAATGCCTTCAAATGAGGAATAAACTGTACTACCATAGTAGGTTTAATTTTAAGATGTAAAATATTTCTTTTAAACATGAAAAATGATTCGCCGAAGACTTATTGACAGTCAAATTGTAATAATATTTAAATCTGGTAATACTTTTCATATTAGAATTTTGCTGTCAAAAAGCCGTTCGGTCTATTGATGGGTCGCTCGTTTCTGTGTTAAATTATTAATTTACTGCTTTCATTGTATATTATTTCTTTGTTTTACCGTCTAAACATGGTTTAAACAAGTTTCCGTGATATAAATATTATTGAGTGGTTTTGCAGTGACTACTATAAACAAATCCAAAATGTCCGTACCCAACACAGGATTGAGCAAGTTAAAGAAGAAACATATCCGTGTAAAACATCAAAAAGTGAAATTGTTTCGTGCTAATGAACCGTTACTATCTGTTTTTATGTGGGGTGTTAATCATACGGTAATTGTATTATTATTTAAATATGTTAAAATTTTCGTAGAGTGTAACTAATTGTATCGTCGGGCAAAGACGCTCGTTACTTTAACGCGACGATATTATCGCCTGTAAATACATCGTAGTGGTTTATGTTGAAATCAAATTGTATAATTTTGATAATGCATTATGTTTAACATATCTGGCACTTATTCAATTCCTGGCTGCTTACCCTTGTTGTATAAATAGTCTCATTATTTTCAAATGACAGACGTTTTTATCGCCAAAATTTGATGCAGTCATAGATAACTTTTTTTTTCAGATTAATGAACTGAGCCATGTTTCGATACCAGTTATGCTTCTGCCGGATGATTTTAGAGCCTATTCAAAGCTCAAAGTTGACAATCATTTATTTAATAAGTAAGAATTTTTATAATATTTTTTTTTAACCATATGTCTGTAAGTACAGTTAAATCTGATTTTAACAAACTGAAGGGTTAAAAAATTTAAAGGGACTAGTAATTAACTTAATTATTTTAGTATAAATTTCTTGCTTCAATCATGACAAGAATTATTTATGTCTTATCTGCATTTCTTTATATCTCGAGTGCTTACTGATAACAATGCAAGGCACATCTAAACACTTTGGAGGCTGAAAATTGCAAATATTGAGGTTGATTATGAGATAATTAAATTGTATTTGTTAAAATAACAGTTCTTAGTGTATTTGCATTAATGTACTTACTAGCTATCGCCTGTGACTTCATCTGGAAGGAATTAAAAAGAACAATTAGTAGGATTTGTGTCCATCTATCACATGTATACTAGATCCATGCACCTGTTATGGATCTCCATAAAAGCTTTTAACTTTTAGAAAAGAACCAATTATCAACTGAATGTTTTGCATTCATAATGTCACTAGCTGTTGCTTGTGACTTCATCCATGTGAAATATAGCCTATGTTACTCACTAGTTAACTTTCTAAAGATGAAAGAATTTTTAAAATCAACCCAGTAGTTCTTGAGTTATTTCAATTTATACAAAATCCAAAAATATAAATCTCTCCTCTTTATAATATTAGAATAGATTAAATTAAAAGTACAAAGCATCCATTTCCAATCTTATTTAGAACTTTTAAGCATTGAAATTATTTTTTCTTTTATATAGTTTTATAATTTATTTCAGGGAAAACATGCCATCGCATTTTAAAGTAAAGGAATACTGCCCATTAGTGTTCAGGAACCTTCGAGAGAGATTTGGGATTGATGACCTGGACTATAAGGAGTCTCTAACAAGGTAATCACTTCACTATTTATGGTTTCTAATAAGCTACATTCTTGTCTATATCTATCTATGTAACATGTATTTATGGTATATTTTTATTTCCATTATTTCGTACTGGTATCCCTTTTTCCTACCTCTCCCATGGTCCCTAGGTTTAGAAAGCCAGATAATTACCTGTGCTCGAGGGCAATGAAGAGGGTTACCAGTAAATTACGCCGTTCAGAGACAGCACCCTCCAGTGTTGCCAACATGAAAAACGAAACTCACCAAGAAGGGTTATTCCATGATGCGAGTGCATTCGTCAAACGTGGCTTGACGATTAAACGCCTGAGGTCAGCGGAGTTTTTAGCAGCTGTACGAATTCTTTTTACATTTTTTTTATAAATAACAGTTTGTAGTGTGCTATCCGAACTGACACAGCAAAATGCATTACTCGCAAACCACGAAATCACTGGCCATTTTGCCCATACAACACTAAAACACTAGGAGGTATACATTCAATGTTTTTTTTTATATCATGTGTACGTTAAATCTGATCTTAATTTTATCGATAATAATAAATCCATCGTCCCATCACTATTTCCGTGCTTCGATTTGCGTCCTTCCTTCCTTTGGTTTTGTTTACAATGTAACAATACTCACAACATTGCATTAAATCACACCGCAAAATGCACTCGGAAAAATCGCATAGTGTTTTGTATAAATTTACATAAAATGACTCAAAGTTACAAACAGGTTTTAAAATACGTTTACGGCGGTTTTGCCTTAAATGCTGGTATTTTAACAGTCGAACAACAACACCACGAACATTTAAATGACAGGCTTCAAATGTTTTCTCCGTTTTGTCTGATTTGTGTGCGAACCGAAGGCCTAATTTTAGCCTGCTTTCTATTCCCACCCTTTTGGTTATAAGAAAATGATGGGTTGGTAAAGAGATTTTGGCGCAGAAGACGCATAAGAAAAAAAAGTATCCTCTTTATTTGCGTCCCGTTCTCAGGCAATTAAAAGTAGACAACAAATCTGCTATTGCAGATGTCTATGCAGCGGCCGCTTCGCTATTTCGGCGAATACAATGACCGCTTGCTCGATTGCCTCTTTACAAAAATACATACATAACTGTTTCTTTGAGTCAGCATTTTTTTAACCATAGGGTTGTTCTGCTATAGAATGTTGAATTTAATGATGACACGGTTTTTGCGTATTTCACCGGCTTTAAGAAATTGATGCGTCATATCCGCACAGATTTCGCTTTTGCTCTCACGTTAGTTTGTGTTACCAAAGACTGCGCACAATAAAATTCGACTTTGAACTTGGTGTAACGACTTGTTTGTCCTCTGAGACCGCTCATCGGGCTATTTCTGTTTGCGAGATTAATTCCAATTTATTTATTGATTTGGTTTTGTTTTATTACCTGAACCGGGAGGGACTTTTTCACGCTTATTTGTGTATGTATATCAATTCCATTAGGATGTCTACTTTAAAAGATTAATTTTGAAATCTTTCTAATAATATGTTCCCCTCGAGTGACACTGGGGGTCTTTTTCGTATTCTTTTGTTTATTTTTTAATCAGTAATCTATTCAGTTTGTAAATTCACATGAATAAGTTACCTTAGAAGTTTAGTCGACGTTAACAATTTCTTGAAGTCGATGACAACTGATTTTCATAGCACTAATGTGAAATTTCTTACAATAGTTAGTGATCATACAATTTGAGATTTGTATACGATAGCGTTTAGTCACTTTGTAACATAAAGTTTCTATTTTTATGTTGTTTTATGACCGTTATCATTCTAAATGAAATTGGGCTATATGGACTATCACATTATCTACTAAGATAATATACAATTTGCGGAATCGATATAAATTCAGGATGTATACGTTAACGATATCGATGATATTCTATGTAAACTAGATATAGTTTTGATAAGTTAGTTTTCTCATTGTTTTTCTTATCTCTATATCACTTTTTATCATCTTAATAAAGTAATAATAATACAAGTTATTTGTAATAATGCTAATGACCTAAAATGTGACGTAATCGTTCATAATTCATTAGCCGTTATTCTAGTATGTCCACACTTTGCTAAGTCAAAGATTTCTAAAGTATCATTGCATTTTTTCTATCCCAAATGGAATGCTAAATAGCATTCTTTTGATCTATATTACCGTGAGAAGTAGAGGAAGAAAAAACAACTTTATGCGTCCTCTCCCGTGCCACTTAAAAATATGCAACACATCTGCAAATACAGATATCTTAGGAAGCGGTTACTTCCCTATTTTGGCGAATTTAGTTGTCCCCTTGCTCGTATGCCAATTAATAAGAAACCACACAGAATCGTTTCATCATACCTCTCTAAAACAGACATGACATGTGCATTTTAACCGACGTCTTAATAGAAGGTTTTTGTATATGTGTTTGTATGGAAAACCAACTGTTACAGCGTCTCTGATTAAACTTAAATGGTATTTATAACAAAATAATGTCAACTAATCTATCTTAAAACAAAACAATCTGTGAATTGTTTGGACGATATCCTTTATTTTAATAACGAAGTTAAAATGACCTCGTACTGCGTCTTTGTCCATAACGATCGATAGCTGTCGTGAGCAATACACTTGCCCCAAAGCTTTCCTAACCGTATACATTACTAACTAGCTGTAACTCGCGACTTCGCTCGCGTCAAATTAAAAAAATATAGCCAATGTTACTCACTGATAATGGAGTTTTTTAATAGTGAAACAATTTTTGAATTCAGCACAGTAGTTTTTACGTGAATCAAATACAAATTCCTATTTGTAATCGTATATCATATAAATCTTATAAATGCGAAAATTACGATAAATGGATGGATGTTTATTAGCGTTTGTAGCCTAAACGGCTGAACGGATCTCCATGTAATTTGCTACAGGTGAGAGCATAGTCTGGAAGAACACATAGGCTACTTCTTATTCCGGGAATAGTTAAGGTTCCCGTTGGATTCCTTCATTTAGTTTTTTAATGTTTACTCGATCATTCTGTAACGGTTCAACATATCTTATTGAAATTTGGCACAGATATAAAACTAAGTCTGGAGTACACATGAGATAAGGTTCATCCTCGATCACTGTCCGGTTCCCGAGGGATACGTAGCTTTTTGTTATTGTTATAGTTTGTATGTTTTCTAATAACCCGCGGACGAAGTCGCGGGCAACAGCTAGTATTAGTATAAAAGTTAACATGGTTAGCAAATGAGGCTCTATAAGAGACAATCACAGTCGTTTAGTTAAATAGGATTAAATAAATTTTTTATACAAAGTATGTTGAAATTTAGTGATGATTGAAATTTTTTCCTGTTGGCCGAAAGGTAAACATGGGTACTAAATATTTGAGTGAAGTTGAAGGTTATCAATATATAGATTGTGTGATAGATAAATGAAAGGAAATTGAAATTTTATCTAATGACGTATTGAATAGCGAATAAAGATAATATAAGTGGTGTTTTATGATTCTATGAAAACGGATTTGAACACCGGAAACACACTTAGTTTATTCCCTAAGGGTTCTCTATAAAAACAATATGTACAAAAATATATTCATAATTAAATTCCTCTGTGGTAAGTGTCCCGTTGGACCGGTTGTATCTATTAAATCATTCTACTCAATGTGAGAAAAATTCCCATTGGGCCGATCGAGTAGACGAAACGGCCCAACGGGAAACCACCACCGTGATATGTGAACGTACTATACTATACAGAATGAATTCCTACTAACTTTTTTTGTTCGTTTTGGTTGACGTTTGGGTTTTTGAGTTCTTTTTTTAATGAATTTTATTAATAACGATATAAACTATTACTGTTACTATTACTATTACTATTACTTAAAAAGATAAAGAAGTAAATAAACTAAAAATAAGATATTGGTTTATGTTTTTTTATTACTATAAGATGTGTAGTGAAGTAGTTTTTAAGAGAACACTTTAAGCAGCCCTTTTTTAGTTAAAATTACTGCAATGCATTGTCACTTGTGCACATTGCACATAATAGTATCGAGAATTTGGTTTGTAAGTCAAAGCAATATTGTAGGGAAATTTATATATACTGCAAACGTCTTAAGTATAAGGCTCACATCGATATTTACTAATGATTTCATTGTAACAATTTACTTAATGATTCTTGCGGTTAGAATAAATGTCTATAGATTAATTAGTACAGCCTTTTGGCTTGAAATGATATTTTCTGTGTAATTTGAAATTAAGAATTTCAAGTCTGGTAACCTAAGGGCCCTCGAGTATTACTGTCAGAGGTTTATGCGTCTTCCATTCTTTCTGGAAGTAGTTTCTTCTTGTATTTCCTGTCTTTATAATGATTGTGTGATTTTCATTATTCATAGCTTAAATTTTATTAACTCGATACTGTTTTTTTGTCGACAGATCTCAGCCCATCCCGGACGATTCTTCTGGCAAATCTGGCGCAAAGTTTTATCAGAGCTACGATCGTCTCTTCATCCTGAAGACCCTCACTTCGGAGGAGGTGGAACGGATGCACTCTTTCCTTAAACATTATCACCCGGTGAGTTTTATTTATTTTTATAGACTTACTACCTTTCGCAACTCCGTGTACGTGAAATTAAAAAAACAAAACAAGGAAGCAACCTATGTGAGCTAAATTTCATCGAGACCGTTCAGCAGTTTAGGCTACAACCTACAAACTCTTAACAAATGTCTATGTATCCAAACTTTCGCGTTTGTAATATTAGTTTGACTAACTTTAAAACCCTCTGTTAAGGGCACCGTTTATAATTTGTTTTAGAATTTTTTTTAATTACGTAAACAAATGATTTAAAAAACGCATCACAATATACCGAGAGTTTATTTCTGGTTAAGCTATAATTATTTACATAATAATAGCATAGGTTCTCTACATTTTTAAGTTTCTATATAGTTTAAGTAGGTGTTGTTCGCGACTTTGCTCGCATGAAATAATAAAAACCTAACCTGTGTTATTCACCGATAACGTAGCTTTTTAATGGTGAAAGATTTTTAAAATCGGCCCAGTAGTTTTTGAGTAATTTCAATTTATACAAAAATGTAAATTTTTCTTCTTTATAGTAGTATAAATGTACATATATTTATGTGGCTGTATATAATGAATGTATCATAGCAACAATATATGAAGACATTAAGATGCTCTGTAATCTGTTTTAAACGATCCGACCTTCTGATCAAATTAAATTACTTCGTGTTCGTTGTGCCTGAGCGAGCACTCTGAGAGAAAATTTTTGCCCTATTAAGAGGGTAATAATTTTACAAGATTTATGGCCGGTTTCCCAACTACATTTAACCATTCGTTAATGTTTTTTTATTCGATAATTTCATGAAATGCGTATGTACGCAACTTGAGGATTACTCCGTTGAAACTTAGATCAACCTAACACTAACGAATAAATAGGTGACAAATAAAAGACATCTTCGGAAACCTAGCATGATGGTTTTGAACTTGTGTATACTGTTTTGTTAACTAAATTCTATCATGTACAGTACCCTATAACTGCCTGAGATTGGAATCAATTTGTCGTTAGAATTTTATCACGTCACTGTTTTTTAGGTTTTAATTTAGTTAGTGTATTGAAGATTCAGAAATAAAAAACATAAAAATACATGTATTTTGTTTAAATTTAAAATTACGTATGTTGAAGTTCCCATTGTTTATAATTTGTATTCTACGTGCATATTCTTAGGCCCACTGTCATTAAAATGTATGTTGTAACGATGTTCCGTACTAGGGTAGAATTTAAAACATTAAAAAAAGTTAATTTGTTTTGTATTAGGTTATTTTAGTAACTATGTTTTATTATGTTTCCTTGTTCTGTGCTTGCATATATTTATTATTAGCTGTTCCCGTGCGATTTTATCAGCATAAAATTATTTTATTGTTTACATGTGTCAAATTGTCAATTGCAAATGTCAAAATGATACATCATGACAAAACTTGGCAACCTTGCTTGCTTGATGTTGGCAGCAACTTATGATCTCTTTCCTACATTAGGGATTTTATTTAAAATATTTATCCCCTAAGTTTAATGGCGTAAAAATATACAGCCTAAAGCGTTACGTAAGTGTAGGGCTTTTTATTGAAAAAAGAATTATTCAAAAATATGCTGTAATTGCTGACATTTTAGGCAACAAAGAAGTGTCACGCTTTATTATAATATTATAGATTTAAATTCATTTTGAATTAAAGGTTATGTTTTAACTTGAAATGTAAGTAAAGTTATATTTTTGAACTTTAAGAACTTACAGAAAATATATCTCCTGCTTTACTCAGAGTGGTAAATAATCACTAAAGGTGTTTCTTAGCATAGATGTAAGATATACTAAGGAACTACTGAAGCAACCATTACGTGGTTCTAAGTGTGGCAGTGATTTGAATATAATTACGCGAGAATTAGAGGTCCTAAATATTGTATAATAGAATTCTTCATATATTTGTATGGATTGTGTTTATTTTAATGTATATTTCCATTTCTTAGCTTAGCTTATATCGTATCAACAGTTATCTAATCTCGTCAGAACATTCCCCTGTATCGTACAATTTGACAATGTATATCGTAATGTTAAGTTTTCTAGTTCGCTGCAGTACATTTGTACTTACTGCACTAAAACATTATTTTATTTTATAGTAAAATCTAAAAAGTCTTCCAAAAGCCGAGTACGGTACTGTCTAAGCTCGGCGGTTTTTCCAAATAAAATAAAAAAAAATGAAATAACATTTATTCTTATCACCACTACAACACAATTAGGAATAAGAGAAAAAAAACACAACAAAGTAATTAAAAAAGGGGTAATAAAGACTTAATTACAGGATAAACAAAGTATTTAACATGTGTATTGCAGTGCTGACCAAATCAGTTCAATATGGCCAAATATTGAAACGAATTTTAGACACTTACAAAGGTGTTACACCAATACAATCTGAGAGACGACAAAATTAGAATAAACTTTAGAGTTTTAGCCTGGCCTTATCTTTGAAGACCTTGTTATATATTAAAATATAATTACCGTATTCGGCCGTTGGGATCCATCTAGAAACTAGTGAATCTCTACCGAAAATCTCTAAAGGTCTAAATATTTAAATTCCGATAAACCATTAGGCCATTACGGGTAAGGATTTCCGATCATGTGGTCGAGTCGTAAACCATATCTTAGCACTAGCCTAGAGCTAAGTTAGAAAGCTGTAAGAAATATTAGTAAACCAGCTTTCGCCCAGGACTCCGTCCGCGCGAAATTAAAAAAAAAAACTAATGCAAGTCGCTTATATGTTCTTCCAGACTATCCTCTTCATTCATGTCAAATTTCATCGAAATCCGTTCAGACGTTTAGGCTAAAAACTCTAACAAACATTCATACATCCATCTAAACTTTTGCATTTATAATATTAGTATGATTAACAAAAATCTGTTGATCTTTTAAAAAAAAGGTGGATGTCTATGTCATTCGATGATCACCTCTTTACTTATAAAAACCCTTTAGAGTACTTAAGTGATCATTGGACATACATTTAGATTTTAATGTTATTTTATGTATTTTACAGTACATAGTGGAGCGACATGGTAAGACGCTGTTGCCGCAATACCTTGGCATGTACCGGTTGACGGTAGATGGTATCGAACACTACCTCGTAGCCACCAGGAATGTGTTCTCCAATCACCTCAATATACACAGGTAGGTACTACAATAGTCTAGAACATAGAAATGTGGGTTCCTTATCATGTTTTTAATGTAACAGCCAGACATTTAATAAATATATCGACTAGACATAGTGGATAACATTTTTCACCGGTAATAACTTTGAAAGGTACTATGTCATTTGTCAAGTTTAGTGTCCCCTCATGTCCTTGTATAGACATTTTAAAAAAATATTTACTCCTTTTGGCAGTTCTTTTAAATACAGTTAATTATAGACATTTTGTTTTGAGCATCTGAAAAATCTCTCAAGAAAAATGTCTACTATGCTTCCTCTATACATTTTGTGAATCTCTATGGTAACAGCACATATTGCTCTTGTGTACTAATTGCTTTTGGAAATTGGTGATTTTTCTCTTCTCTTGGATGTGCCATTTAATGGATTATTGGTCACAAATATATTTTCTTTATAAGCATACAATGAATTTCTGTTGTTTCCAGAAAGTACGATCTAAAAGGGTCGACAGTAGACCGTGAAGCGTCGGAGAAGGAGCTGGAGAAGGAACTGCCCACGTTAAAGGATAACGACTTCATCAAGCAAGGAGTCAGGATCGACATTGGTGATGCTGCCAAGGATAAGCTGCTGGAGACCCTCACTGCTGATGTTGAGGTATGTGTTGATGACGTCTTCTAAAGATATAGTCGATAGAAGGAACTAGAGAAGATAAATTGATATACAGAGTGTTTTAATGAATGGATCAAAAGATTTTTGGAGGTTGAAGATTTTAGTATTTATCGATTATCCCGAAATATGTCCTGAAGTTGTTAGATCGGAGGTTGTTTATTTTTTTTGTAAATGTTTTAAAAACAATGTTTTTAAAACTTTTTTATTCCCCTGTATAGACTTAAGAGCGTCGGTGGCTCTGTGGTTTAAACACTTGACTTGTAATCTACAGATCTTAGGTTCGAATACTGCCATGTACCAATGTGATTTTCGATTTTTCGAATTTTCATACGTACATAATTCACCCGACGTTCTTACGGTGAAGGAAAACATCGTGATGCAACCTACACATATCGGCGAAGAAATTCAAAGATATGTGTGAAGTCAACCAACCCGCAGTGGGCCAGCGTGGTTGACTATGGCCTAGTCACCCCCTTATTAGGGTATGCTCCGAGCCCCTCAGTGGGAACATATAGTGAGCTGGTGATGACGATAGACTTAAGTGATGATATATTTCTGTAGTTCATAAGCCCCTTGTCAATAGTAAAATGCCAGAAAATTCTTGTCTTGTGTGCTTAGGTATGACACATTATTAAATGAACTAACCTCGATAAGAGTGCCCTATAAGTTTCTTACACTGTTTATTATTTGCATTATTTGTGTCTCGACTTCGAAATAAGTAATAATTGTACGTTATGTTTTGTTTAGTTTCTAACGAAACTACACTTGATGGACTATTCGCTGCTGCTCGGAGTGCACGAGTGCGGCCGCGGCGAGGCGGAGGCGGAGGCGGCGCGGCAGCGGGACGCGGAGGCCGACAGCGAGCCCGACACCGACAGCGACAGCGACACCGACAACCGACACCACGGCGACAGGTACACCGACATACACCGACATACGCTGACATACACCGACATAACACGGACGTGATAGGTATCAGGACTTGACATTCATGGTCATTTTCCCATTTTAAGCTATACTAATATTATACAGGAAAGAGTTTTTGTATGTATTAAAATAAACTCAAAAACTACTGGGCCGATTTCAAAAATTTCACCATCAAAAAAGTAAATAATCGCTGAGTAATATAGGCTATGTTTTATTTTTATTTTCCGTGAATGACGTCGCGAGCAACAGCTAATAAAGGAGGCCCCTAGATTATCTAGTTAGAGGCATCTAAATACAATCACAGTCACAAGGCCCTCGGGGCCATAGGGTCTCGAGGCCCTTAGGATCCCAGGGCCTCTAGGGTCCGAGGGCCCCCGGTGTGTGTGTGTGAGCGGAGCGCGCTGTCAGCAGGTGGGGCTACAACACGCCGCCGGACAGCCCGCGCGGCTTCGCGCGCCACGCGCTGCGCTACGAGGGCATCATACCGGAGCTGGATATATACGCCATACCCAGCCAGGATGGTAAATCTATTTTATACTAGTTTAATAAACACACATTTGTTATGTAGGATTTTAGTAATAACTGCATATTTTTGAATAATTTTCTTTTTTAAAAAATGCACTTACTATACAATTAACATGAGTTAGAGTCATATGCATCTCGCACGACTAAATGTTTAGTGGAAAAGAGGTTTATGGTGAAATTTAGGTATAAATTATTTTTTTTATTTTTATAAAGTACAGTAAAACTAATTTGAGAGGTATTTGTAATGAAGATATTTATTGATCTGATTTTTTTCTAATTTCAGCTGCACCTAAAAAAGAAATATACTTCGTTGCCCTAATCGATGTGCTCACACATTATGGAGTTAAAAAACAGGTAAATATAAATGTTGATTACCACATTTAACTATAATTTGACCAGAATAAATTTATTGCCAGAAAATAATAAACTACGTGCAATGCACAGACTTTTTCTTAGAACAGAAAAATGGTACTTAACAGTCGGTGCCCGCTTCTACAGTAATATAATTAAACAAACATATACATAGTAACATAGGCCATATTTTTAATTATTTAAGAGTTCGTTTGTATGTATTGAAATAACTCAAAAACTACCAGGCTGTTTTTAAAAATTCATTCACCGTTATAAAGGCAATTCTTCTCTTAGCAACATAGGCTATATTTTGTACTATTTTTTAATTCCTCTTTATAATAAGTGTTATTTATTTTTGTTAATGCTATAATTTTATTTTCAGGCGGCGAAGGCAGCTAAAACAGTGAAATACGGCAGTAATGTAGATGGCATATCTACGTGTGACCCGGAGCAGTACGGCAAGAGGTTCATAGAGTTTGTAGCCAAGGCCATTGAAGGCAACTAGACTGTGCATTGCTTCTTTTAGTGAGAACTATTCAAATTAACACTAAAATATCGTATACGTCAATATGTTGACATTATTTCAAATATTGAGAGCAATTATATAAGAAAGACAGTTTGCTGACAATCTCCTGTACATTTAATAGGAATTGTTTGATATCAGTCGAAAATATATGCAATTTAATGTTTTCAAATTGAAAATATAACCAAAAGTCAAATCATTGAATTTAAGTAAATTTCCATGTTATATTTCTGTTTAAAATTATCAAACCTTATTTATTTACTGAACATTAGTATTATTTTACGTTTAATTTATAAAAGGTCGGTGGAAAATGGATTTAACAGGGTTGTAGGACCGATTGAGGAAAGTTAATTTAAACATATTCACTAAAAGAAGCATTGCATATGTGAAAGATAATCCCCACGACTTTATCTGACTAAAAGAATGAGGTTCACTCAGAAACGTTTCACGGTTACTGACAGAGACCCTTAGTATTTACCACTAAAGGCCTTTTTAGTTATATCACTAAAGGCCTTTTTAGTTATACCACTAAAGGCCTTTTTAGTTATACCACTAAAGGCCTTTTTAGTTATACCACTAAAGGCCTTTTTAGTTATACCACTAAAGGCCTTTTTAAAAACTGTATCATTAAAGACCTTGTAGTAATTATGCCATTAGAGGCCTTTTCAGTAACTATCTACACTAAAGGTCTTTCTACCTCTGAAGTAAGTCTAGTAACTGTCTACCCCTGAAGGGCCTTTTTAATAACTATCACAACGGACCTTTTTAGTTATTGTCTACCATTAAAGACCTTTTTAGTAACTACCACCAAAGGCCTTTTTTAGTAATTTTCTACCACTAGGGGCCTTTTTAGTGTCTGTCTACCACTAAAGGACTTTTTAGTAACTTTCTACCACTAAAGGCCTTTTTAGTAACAGTTTACCACAAAAGACCTTTTTATTGTCTACCTCTAAAGGCCTTTAGTATTTGTGTATCTGTTTTTTTGGGTATTTTGTAGTACTAAAGGTCTTCTTTAGTAACCGTTAATCGAAAGAGTGTCGGAAGTCTATGAATTTAAACCCTCAGTATGAGGTTCTTTAAAACGGCAGGAACGTAAAGACTTTGATGTCAATCTACCTCTTTCTATTGGTCTAGATTTAGCTAGAGTGGTATAGAAGATACTAAATAATCGTGTATTCTAACTTGTATCATGTTTAAAGTAATTTATAATGAAACATAGTGTTCGCTTCGGTATACGGTAATGTTACCGTGGGTTACAATTTGTCTAGGCAGATTATAAAATGACATCAACTTTTAATACTGCAACTTGCAGCAATGTATTAGAGGTTTAAACTAGTACAGTCAGCTGTACATATTTTTATGCATTTATAATTTACAAACTTGTATTTTATTCATTTCCATAATTTAATAGCATTATTGTCATCATATAAGCATATTTGAAATGGAAGATGTGTGCAATTTTCTGTAGATAAATGTATACTTTTGGCAGCTGACTGTACAAGTACTCAATACAGTCGAGGAATTTTATTTCCTACCCAATGTAATGACATTTGGAAGCAATGCAATTATAGTCGAACAAGGATATCTGGGATGGTGAGAAATCTGTCAGAAAATATGTAAAAAATTATATAAAAAATTATATAAAATGACAGCTAGAAAGATCTTGACACTTTTTTGACATTGTGTTTGTGAGCTGTCAATTAATTTATGGTCACCGTGTCAGATATCCTTGTCAAAGATATCTAAGAAATATATAGACGAGGCAGTGAATAACATTTTTTAACTGGTACTTTCTCTGACAGGTACTAATTCAGTTGTCAAGTTTAGTGCCACTTCGTGTGTACATGTAATAAAAAATACAATATAATAAGCTCCATCTTTTGTTAAAAACTAAGATCAGTATTACAAAATAAAAAAAACTTTTTAAGATTATTTAATTACACTTATTGGCAATACAATTAATATTGACATGTAGTTTTGACACTGTCAATAGATTGTTAAAAATGTTTACAGTGAACTGTCAACTTTGCTTCTTCTATGTATTTTTTGAATCTTTGGTTGACTTATAGTTCTTATGAATAATTCTTTATTTACAATTGCAGCGTAGCAAGGTCTTTTTTTATTTTCATATATACTTTACTGCCATTTTACTGTTGTGGAAGTAAATGTAATAATTTTAAACTAATTTATTTCGACCAAAAATCGTAGTTGGAATTACTATGCATTTACAACAAGCTAAGTAATTTCTTTGAAGCAGTTTTAAATGTCATGTTAACATTTTACCTACACACAGTTATAACTGATCATTATTTTTTCTCTTATTCCTTTTTTTTTTGCACCTAAAATGACTAGAATATAATACAGTCAGCTGCATAAAAATGTACACATTTACAATTTTTTTGTCTTCGATTTTAAAAATATTTCATGTATTTGTACCCTGAAGTATACAGATTTGTGTATTCATATTTTTGAAACCGAAGGCATCGATAAAAGTTTTGTTAAAGTATATGCTGACTGTACAATTTGATTTTTTTTTAATTTACACTAATTTCATATTGACTTCAACCTACGCTGCATTGCTCTTTTCACGAACTGAATAAATAAGAGCACTCAATAACTTGTTATAGCTTGTATATTCTGCTGTCGGCTAGTTTAGTATTGAAAAAAAAAAAAATACTACCCAGGCACAATAACATATGACTCTGGAAAGGCTTCTTTAGTTTACCATCCCTTTTCTTATAAGTAATTTCGACAGAAGGGATATCTTTCGATTTATATAAATGCGGTTATGTAATCGGATCCAAGTGTCATGTTATTGTGCCCGGGTAGTACTGATAGTGATAATTGTTGAAAAAGTTTTCAAATGTTATTGTGTTTCGGTGAAGTTCGATTGTAAAGTTTGTTAGACGTTTTATGGCTGTTTTACTTCGTAAATATAATCAACATTGAATTGTGTATTTCTAATATTAAATACATTTTTGTACTCTTTAATGTTCAGAGTTTTTTGCTTGTAATTTCGACAGCACTGCGCTAATCGCTTAGTTTCTGTGTAGGTGAGCGTTTTGAGGTTATTTTCGGTGTACTTTGTTATTTATTCATACGAATTAAGGGTTGTCGTTTTATGGTTGAATCAGTCCATTATTATTAGTACCCTAAAGGACTCATTTAGCGCCAATTTAACGTCTTTGACAGTTGGAATGTTATATAGCGGGATTCTAGTAATTTCAAATTACGGTTGCGTAACATTTTTTACTGTTTTTTAATAATTTAAATCGACTGTTTTTTTATTTGATCATTTTTATGTTTTTAAAACTTTCCTATCGAAATCTTATTAGTTAATTTGGTAAATTTCTATTGTACAATGTGTATTATTTTTTCATTTAAGGTTATATTTAAAGTTTTTTGTAAGTTGGCAACACAATCGTGAAGGTACTTTTAACCAATTTGAAGAATCTTTTTGTGGTAAAATTTGTCTTTGTAATTATGACAATTTTCCAAAAAATATTGTATACATAGATTTATAACCTATAGATAATTCGGAACACAAAAGTGACACTAAAAAAATCTTTTGCGCCTTTTGTGTAATTTTCATCAGTGTTGTCATTTACGATACTAAATAACATTTTGAAAATCAAATATCGATTAAATGTCGTTTGACTCCATCTATAGGTTATATATCTATGTACACTTTTAATGTATTTTTTATTAATTGGACTCGTTCAAATTATATTTAAATGGCTTATGTGATAGTTACTTTAAGTAATTTCTTACGATTATCGATAATCGTTTTTTTAAATGTATTTGGTATAATTTCATTAATTAATCAAAATTTATCTACATTTCAAATTATCTTTAATACATAAGCTTTCAGCTAAATTATAATCTACTTTTTAGCAATGCAAAACATTGTTATACATTTTTAATCGTTTTTTTGTAATCTTGTGCACAAAAGCACTATTTTGATGTTTAAATAAAAATTCTTTGACATAAGATTTCTAAACAATGTTAGTCAATGTGTTGCCATTGTTTAGGTAGTTGTATTTTTTAAATTAGTAGTTATTTTGTACTGGTAAGTTTTTGTTAACGGTGTTGCATGTAATCTGTATTAATTACGGATTTCGCTCCCAACCCGACCGCGTTGTTTACGAAATTGTTTATCTCTAGTCTCACTCTTGTAAAGACAAAAATGTGTATTGAAAAAAATGATTGAAAACATTTAATTTTGTAATATTCGATTTATAAATTTTCTGAAGCACAAGAGTTTTATTTATTTACCTTATCTTAATATTAATTCTATTCTTTTGAGACAAACAATATCATCATAAATTTCTCATATGGCAATATTAATAAACAGTACTTGAAAATCTTTGTGTTGTCTAATTTTTAGTTCAATAATATGTACAGCCCTATGGTAAAAATCTCCCAAAACTTATTAAGAGTTGCGATTTTAGGATCACGCGCAATCTTTGACTAAACTATAAGTATAAAATAAGTTTTTGGGAGATTGTTAACATTTGCGCCCGCTCTTAAAGCCAAATTGCCTTGAAGTGTATTCGAAAACAGATATTTTAAGAATGGAAACACTATCATACAAAAAATAAAAGTCATGAAATCATAATATTACGTTTATTAAAAAGAGAGAAAATGTACACAAAGAAATCAATCCATCCTTGTCTTTACGTGTTTTTCAGTGATTTTGTCTTTTTCAATGATGTAGACGACCGCGCCCCAGCCAGAGATCGCGTCGCGGTCCGCCGCGTTCACCAGCGCCTGTACATTATAGAACATTTATTAACACATATAACTGGATAACTATGTAACCATTTGAAAATATATGTTCCATAGTTGTATTGAGCTACTGTTAATACTTATTAGTACAGCATCAATGATTATCAAACTAATTAGCCAAAGAGCCAAATATGATGTTTGTTAGAAAGTATCTCTTTAACGGCTGATAAAATTTGCTACAGATTTATCACAGTCTGGAAGAACACATACAGTCTGACAAATAAACATGGTACTGAGTATAAACAGCATTAGTACCAATTTTGCTTATAGTCTGTTTATTCCTGTCTGTTAAGTTTAACTTTATACCACATTTATTTGTAAGACTGATAGCCTACTAAGTTTAAAATTCCGGCAGAGTCTTGGGAGACTAATATTATGAATGCGAAAGTTTGGATGGATATTTGTTAAAGTTTGAAGCCTAAACTGCTGAATGCATCTCGATGAAATTTAACACAGATGTAGAACAGTCTGGAAGAACACATAGGGTACTTACTTTTTTTACATGAATAGAATCAGGTGAGAGCTACTAAATAATATGTTATGAGATGTAAAATATGTAACTTCTCATTGAAATACCTGCAATAGCTTACCTGTGAGATAGTTTCGAACAGCTCATTGGGCTTGAGGTTGGGTTCCCACAACGCCTCGCACATACCATACAACTGTTCTGAACATGTTCCTGACACTACAAAGTCTTCCGGCTCATTGGGGCAACCAATCTATAAGAACAACAATCCTTTTGATAACTAGATTTCATTTGGTTAATTAAAAAAAAACAATCATATAATATTACAAATGCATAAAACTAAAACCATTTTCAAAACAAACATTAAATGTAACTCAAGCCTGTTCAAGAATGTTTCCTGTTTGTAACTAAACAGAATATAAGCTAACTTTCTGGCAACTTGATCTTTACATCATTTTTAAGTTCATGCATTTAACTCTATATCTACAGTGATTGGATAATTTGTTTGTAATAATAATAAAGTCATTTAATCTATTCACAGAGCAAACATCATACATTTAACCCTTAAATGCAAATTGTTGCCAAAAGTCTACAAACAAAAGTATAGTTTTTATTAAAACCAAGATTTTTTTAATTACTTCACCTTTAATCTGTATCTCAAAACCTATACCGAAATATTATTTTATTTCATAATTAAATAAAAAATCATGCATTTAAGAGTTAATTACATTGTTAACAAAAGAGATGAAAAAAATTATACAAACAACAAAATACATACATACTCATTAGTAAGTATAAAAGTTATGAATATTTTTACTAAGTTTGCTATGCTGAATGGATCAAAAGTTGATTATTACTTAAATCTTACCAGATCCATATTACAGACGTAAGGTTGGTTATCAATTGGATCCAATCCAGCGATGACAGGCTCAATGAAGTATGGACCAAAACGCTTCTCATACAACAAGTTGGACAACATCGCTGAGAATGTCTTTGGTCTCATTACTCTGTTCTCTTTCAATTCATACAAATTCATCCTGAAATTAAATAAACTTGTTGAAATAGTAAAATACAAGATAAATACTAATACCCAACAATCTTAGTGAGTGTATTTCTAATAGAAAATATTGTAGCGGCATAGAATATTTATAAAAGTATTATGTCGAAGTTTTAATAAATGGGTAAATGTTAAATTTTAGCTAAATATGTATTGAGAGTCAAATATAAATTAGGAAATAAAGCTAATGATACTAACTCTAACTAGAAAAATGGCTATTTTAAATATTAATATATACTTCAGATTTTCCGATCCAACTGTTTACGCTGGTTTTAACAATTGTTTTACTATATGCCTTGTCATAAAGTAAATAAGTTTGATAAAGTACATAATAACTAAAATACTATCTAAAAGGAAGCAAAAATTTACTAAGTATTGACAGAAACCTATTTAGTGTTAGTTATTTAGTCAAATTAAGCAATACCTGAAGTAAAGAAGTAAGAAAGTAACATGAAACAATACCTGAATTTAAGCCTTTGGAATACAGTCTGTGTGTCAGTGGCCAAGCCGGGTAAGCCAACATACAGTGTGGGCCCCATCTGATACACCTTGGGGAAGTTTGTAGATATGGTTTGTGCTTGAATACCGAAACGCTTATCTGTAGCTATAGCTACACAGTCTTGGCCTTTCATCGCCACCACTGCACCTCCATTGTACGCTAAAATGGACTGTAAGAAACACCATTTTAAGTTTTAGTACCACAATAAGAGGATAGGAAAAAGCTGAATATAGCAGCATGAGACCCAGAGTAAATTTTTAAATCTGTGTTTGTTATTTCTACACGAAATTTAATTACTAGTTGGTACAATAGTGAAGACAACAGCATGACCGGCACTTCTGCATTTAAATACTAAGCATTCTTAACCACAAATGAAACAATTCGTAGCTTACCATTTTAGATTATTGTTCAGTTTTATCGTAAGAAACGACTATCTATATCTTTTATTTGGTAACCACGAGAAAACTTAGCGCAACCAAGAAACTAATAACTGTTTTAATAACCAAAGACAACAAATTGAAAAATGACATATCATTGGGCGCTACACAGATTAAAAATTTTATGTCGAAAAATATAGATAATTAAAAATGCAATGAAAGTTACTTAATTTTCTTTTTATTAAACTAAGAGGAAAATCAAGTAAATTAGTACATTTTTTTAAGTAAACAAAGATATCCATAATATATGTATTTGTATGAAATATTTATATACCAGAGCATTGGATAGCTTTTATAGCAGTAAATTAGAACGTTTTTAATATTTTGTAAATAATGCTAAGTCAGCGTCCTAAGGACGCCGTCCTTACTAATTCTAGTTAAGGCTCACTCATCGTTACAATTAATTCTTCTAGCTATTATTTATGTTTACTCATTGTTACAATTAAGAATCCTATTTTCTTTAATTAAATATTGTAGTCACACTTACTATTCGGGATCATAGATTTATCAAGTGCTATGTCAGCGTTACTACTACATTTAGTAATTGATGCGTCATGATTACTAGTCTCATTCTCCGTCCTCTCCTATTCTTAGGCATTATTCTAGAGTAATGTAATTCTGTCACTCCGTGTAACCAATTTAAATTTAGAAGATGGACAGGAGCATTTTTTCTTCAAGTTAGTTAATATCACTAAGTTTTATCCAGTATGTAATTGGGCTTCTTCTCAGTTCATGCTCTATTTTACTCTAGGAATTTGTATTCTTCATACTACCAGACCAAGCTATGGACAAGAAAATAGATATATATTAATTTGAATTAGAAAACAAATGCTATTTCAAGATAATCATATCTATTTTTTTTTTAATTTATCAAAAATTGCACAATGGAATTAGATTTTACTAAACGCCTAAGAAGGTGAAGCTTCATGACTAATCAAAAATCAATATAACGTAAAATGTGACGTGATTCTTATTTTTCCAGCATTAGACAAATATTTCTTTACGTCATATTTTAATCAAATCGGAGTACATGCATCTTTTAAAAAAATGGTTTAAAACTGCAATTGTAGAAAGATTTAGTAAGTCAGTGTCCAAATCTTTCCTCCTTACAATATTAGTATAAGATGTACTTAGCTGTAAAGTCGAATGTTTTAGGTTCCATTCCCAATGCCCATTTATTCATTTTATCGTTCATTCACTCATCGGTCGTTCCCAATCGTTGCAGGGAACATTCAGGCATTCGTTCAGCATGCACTTTGGCATGCAGTTTTCAACTAGTTCGTCGTTCTTGAAGCATTGCTTATAAGGACATGTAAAGGGCAATAGAGAGGTCGTTGCCTTTAACCGACCTTGAGTTTTATTATGTCATAGTTACACATAACAGGTTTTAACATAAATATTATGTTAGGTTAAAGTGAATACTAATAACGATAAATGATTGATTTTAGTACTTAATAAAATATCTAAAACAATCTGAAACTTCGCAGAATCGACATTGGGTTATACAGTGTACAATTTTTAATACATTTTTATTTTTGTTTACTTGTTTTACCATTTTTGGTAATCGTTATTCAAAAAAGGTAAATTAAAAAACGCGTCTCGTCTGTCAATGGTTTATTTTTTTATCTTATTTTTTTGCAATCTTATCATGATGTAATAAATAGTGTTGTGATACAACCATGTGTCTGATAAAAGCCGAATCAGTGTGAACCAAAACATCGGCGCGACGACACGCATAGAAAAATGGACGGCGAAGCTAACAGCCTTGAAACCATCATCAATAATAACCTAAACGGTTACGATTTAGAGCAATACAATCGAATATACTACGGAAGAAGAAATCATTTAGAAGTCCCTATAAAAGAAAATTCAAAGGACAAAGCGGAAGAATTCGATTTCGATATAATTGGGTATTCTTTTCCCGCCAAAAATGAACAAATTCGACCACCCAGGATTGTCAAGATTGGAGTTATACAACATTCAATAGTTCGACCGACTGATCAACCGATTAATTTGCAAAAAGCGGCAATTTTCGATAAAATCAAAGTGATTATAGAGACGGCCGGCGAGGAAGGGGTAAACATTCTATGTCTGCAGGAGTTATGGAACATGCCAATGTTCTTCGCGACTAGAGAGAAGCAGCCGTGGTGTGAGTTCGCAGAGTCCGCTGAAGACGGTCCCACAACTAGATTCATTTCAGAATTAGCTGCTAAATATTCCATGGTGATTGTATCTCCCGATTCTAGAACGCGATGACAATCATAGTGACGTTTTGTGGAACACGGCCGTCGTGGTCAGTGATAATGGTAACGTGATTGGAAAGCATCGGAAGAATCACGTTCCAAGAGTGGGAGACTTCAATGAATCAACTTACTACATGGAAGGGAACACTGGTCATCCAGTATTCGCGACACGCTACGGTAAGATAGCTGTTAACATCTGCTTCGGTCGTCATCACGTACTCAATTGGATGATGTTCGGTCACAACGGTGCGGAGATCGTGTTTAACCCTTCTGCGACAGTCGGTGGTGATACTGGAAGTGAGTATATGTGGAATATAGAAGCGAGGAATGCTGCTATAACGAATAGTTACTTCACGGCGGCGATCAATAGGGTTGGGAATGAGAGATTCCGGAGCGAGTTTACATCAGGAGACGGGATGCCCGCTCATCATGATTTCGGTCCTTTCTACGGGTCTAGCTACATTTGCGCGCCTGATGGTGTCCGGTGTCCCGGTCTATCGCGCACCAGGGACGGTCTTCTCATCGGAGTGCTGGACTTGAACCTGAACAGGCAGGTGAGGGACCGCACTTGTTATCAAATGACGCAACGTTTGGATTTGTATGTGAACAGTTTAAGTAAAGTTATGGATATAGATTATAAACCGCAAGTCGTGTACGAAAAGAGAAAGTAGTTTGTATATTTTATTCTTGATAAAAATATAAGGAACGAATCTCGCTTTTTTTCTTAATTTTTATTTAACATCATCCCCAGCACACTATACGTCCCCTCTGATGGGATCGGAGCCTGCCCTAAAAAGTTTATGAGTTTCAGGTATTCGATGAATAATAAAATAATCGAAACAAAAATTTAAATTTGTCCCAACTCTATATGTTTTAAGTTCTAATGTAAAGGTCATTGACCGAAGCACTTTTTATTTATTTACAATTTTTTCCATAGACTAATCAAAGAAATACACATAGACAATATTGTCTATGATGTGTTTCCTTAAAAAGTAATAAAATACCACCTATAGTTGGAGATATCATCAAAACTATTCGCTAATTTTAACACCATTATTTTCACAATTTTTAAGCATTTTTATATTTATCTATACAATTCGGTTACATTTATTATTTGGCCCTAATGATTCAGGGTTTCACCTTACTGAAAAACAATTTAACTAAAGTCTAGCGGCTCATATTTTCTTAATTTAAAGTAATTTAAACATAAACACTGAATGTGTATAGACAGACTGTGGTTTATTAAATTAAATTAATGAAAGTAAATCGTTAAATTTCTGCACATTTTTCCTCTTGACAACAGCAAAATTACTTCCTCATAATATTGATTTCATCCTATTTTACTACGAATGATGACTACGTCTGAAATATGAAAGTATCTACAAGTCTGGCGAGTCATACTACGTTGTCAATTAACACGTTAAAAATCAAACAATTTAATGTACTTTGATCTGTCAAACAAACTGAGCGAAGTGGAATTTACACTTTGGACTTTATGATTCATAACCTAAAAAATGCATCGTCATTAAGTTCGATGTAGGAGGAAACACCTAGTATTGAATTCTTAGAAATCGCGTGACATGGTAATACAGGTTTTTTGTTTAGAGTCAAACAAATCGTAATACGGTATCCTATAAGAAATCTCTTTAGAGATTCGGTTAATAATGTGGTCGATGGTCGATCACTGAGCCTACACACTTTCAGCATAAATTGCAATTTTAAATAAACAATTGTTCAGTTCAATAATAGGTGTACAGCATTATCAAGCAGTTAATTGGCAGGAGATCCAGGACAGGCTGGCATTTAGTGTTGGAGTACAAGTAAACAGACTGTAAGTTAAACTTAGAGGGGCTTAAGAGAAGAATGGATAACCTGTTTTACTGTCCAACGAATATCATAATATTAATTTAAAAACGGAAAAATTATTAAATATTTATAGACAACATGCGTTAAAAGTAGATAAACATGGATAATAAAAAGACATTTGTAGATAACTATAGTAAAAAGTCATCATGAATTTATTTTTTACGTTTGTATGTATGTATTACAATAAGCAATATCAAGCTGCAGATTTTTATGGAATATGTTAAAAGATTGTGTACCTTAAAATAAACATATTTTGGCTTTTTTATTTTCACAGATTCGTCTACAGCAGATATTTCGCAATACATCCAGACTAATGTATGTTTTACTTGCTCCTTTTGTTTCTAAACAGTACGTAATTACATACGCAGCTTTGCTTTTACTTTGTAATAGGCGCTTGGAATAGTCTATAATTCTTATTTATAAACGCCTGAAAGAAAATATTATCAAAATTTACTACAATTTTACCTAGATCACTATTCTCACAGGATTTTTTTGTAAAAAAAATTTGGGTGAAAGAATTGAAAAGGTAAGCTCGAACTGGGTCAAAATGAATGTTCTTAATTGTTTATCAGGAAAATTTATTTATGAATATGGATAAACAATTACATCATCTAGTGCTTTTCATTTAATTCTTCGGAATACATTTCTAACCTTGAAGTCATTTGATAACCCCAATGGTCTTTTACCTGTCTACACAAATTGAGGTCTACTTCTCCGATGAGTAGACCATCCCTTACCCTGGATAGTCCAGGAGTTCTGCATCCATTCGGAGCTGTTATATAACTGGATCCATAATAAGTTCGAGTTACTTTTTTACTATCCAAAATTTTAATAAACTCTTCGCTGCCAACCCTATTGATGCTGCAGGTGTAATAACTATTTGCGATAGCTGCATTTCGGGCTTCTATGCCCCAAAATGATTCGCCGAATTCAGATATTGTTGCTGATGGGTTGAAAACAATTTCTGCACCATTTATAGCGAACATTAACCAGTTCAAAGCGTGATGACGGCCAAAGCAAATGTTGATAGCGATATTTCCATATTTAGTCTCGAACACAGGATGTCCTAAATTACCAGGAGAATAGTATGCTATTTCACTAAAGCTTCCAACACTTGGCAGATGATTTTTGCGATGTTTTCCTAAATATTTCCCATTATCGTCTATAACAACAGCTGTATTCCACCAAACATTATTATCTGTCTCTAGAATCGGTGAGATTATCACCATTGTGTGTTTTTTCGCTAAATTGCTAATAAATTTCGTACTGGGTCCATTTTCTGCGGATTCCGCGAATTCTAACCATTTATCCCTTTCTCCCGTGCAAAGAAAAAAGGGCATAGACCAAGTTTCTTGCAGACATAATATTTGAACACCCTCAGACGCTGCAATATTTATTATATTTTCAACTTTCTTAAAAATTGCTTTTCTTTGTGAAATCAAAGGCTCGTTTGTAGATAAAACAATAGAATGCTGTACTAAACCCAATTTAACTAACCTTGGTTTTCTAACCTCTTCTTTGGCTGCATGAAATGAATACGCGGCTATTTCGAATTGAAACTTTTCACTCGCGATAACACTGGCCGGTTTTAATTTTATTTCACAGTGATCTTCACGTCCGTAGTATAATCTGTTGAATTCTTTTATTTGTTCCAAATTTAAATTGTCTTTAACTATTTTATCGAGAGTTTGAGAACGCGCCATCTTGTTTTTAACTCGATTTTATGTGGAGTACATGTTACATAACTGTGAGATGTAAACACAGTGACTACTTTATGTGGACGTAGATAATAAATTCTTCGTCGTAGCCTAGGTACAGGTTCTGCATACATTTACCATGTAATTAATCTAAACTGGCTTGAGGGTCCATCTATAGTGACTACGTTTTAACTCGACTTTTTATGTGAATAAAAAAATGTTTAGGTAACTTTGTACGATAATATCAATATTATGAATTGTAAAATAGTATTACATTGTTTAAAATTTCAATTAAAAATATTCTAAGATGAAATTATTACTAAAGTACTATCAAGTATCAAGCTCAGCCGGCTTTTATCTGCCCCATCAACCACCCAAATATAAGTATTCTATCTATTATATTATTGTTTATTTATACCGTAGTTAATGTTCCTTTGATAAGGCTATTTTTCATACTGATACTGTTATATTATCTGAGGGTCTAAGTTCATCGGATGTAGTAAGGCAACACACAGACAAATAACACTATATGTTTTGAGTGCATTTGTGAACAGGCATACAGATTGTTTAAATAGCGCGAACGATCGAGAATCAACATCAGTCTTACACGACAGACCCTCGGTGACGGACGCCATTAAAATGGAAAACGAAACTGTCAGCCTCGAAGCTATAATTGACAATAATCTGACAGGCCGGGACCTGCAGGAGTTCAACAGAATATATTACGGCAGAAGGGACCACAATGAATTGAAACTCAAAGATTCATCTATCGCTGCGGCCAAGGAGGCGGACTTCGAAATCGCAGCGTACGGTTTTCCAGCTAAAAAGGAACATACGAGGCCACCGAGAATAGTCAAGGTAGGGCTTATCCAACATTCCATAGCCGCGCCCACTGATCGCCCGGTCAACGAGCAGAAGAATGCTTTATTCGCAAAGGTTAAGAAGATTATTGACGTCGCCGGACAAGAGGGCGTCAATATAATTTGCTTCCATGAATTATGGAACATGCCCTTCGCTTTTTGTACTCGGGAAAAGCAGCCATGGTGCGAATTCGCTGAGTCCGCTGAAGAAGGTCCCACGACTCGCTTCTTAAAGGAGTTGGCTGTTAAATACGCGATGGTCATCGTCTCGTCTATCCTCGAACGTGACGAGAAGCACAGCGACATCTTGTGGAACACGACCGTCGTGATCAGCGACACTGGCAACGTGATCGGTAAACATCGCAAGAATCACATCCCGAGAGTGGGAGATTTTAACGAATCCAATTACTACATGGAAGGTAACACTGGTCATCCAGTATTCGCGACTCGCTACGGTAAAATCGCTGTTAACATCTGCTTCGGCCGTCACCATGTTCTTAACTGGATGATGTACGGCCTCAATGGGGCTGAGATCGTCTTCAACCCATCTTGTACAGTCGCCGGTGAAGCGGGCAGTGAGTACATGTGGAATATAGAAGCGCGGAACGCTGCGATCACCAACTGCTACTTCACGGCCGCTATAAACAGAGTTGGGTACGAAGAGTTCCCGAATGAATTCACCTCAGCCGATGGTAAGCCAGCGCACAAAGATCTGGGTCTGTTCTACGGGTCAAGTTACTTCTGTGGTCCGGATGGCGTCCGATGTCCGGGACTATCCCGAACTAAAGACGGTCTTCTCATCGCTTCTATGGATTTGAACATGAACAGACAGATAAGAGACCGTCGCTGTTACTATATGACGCAAAGACTCGACATGTACGCGGACAGCCTGAGGAAGGTTCTCGACTTGGATTACAAGCCACAGGTCGTACATGAAAATGACAAGTGAAGAGGCTTTTGTAATAATTTTTAAGCTTTCATTATTAACCATTTTATTCAGTTCAATAAACAATTTATAAATTATCTGACTATAATTTTATTACTTCAATAATTGAATCATTATTCATAATAATGTCGCTAATTAGAGATAAAAGGCGTATATATGAGTTTGTGTGCAAATATGAGTTACGTTTCATCATTATTACCCGAAACTACATCCTAATCTCTGTAGACCTTGACAAATGAAACTGCTTCACACATCACCAGCTCCCTAAAATCACCGCTAACGGACTTGGAGCCCACCCAAG